ATTCTCTTACTTTCAATATTTTTGTGGACAGCTATCCTCATTGTGCAAATCTTAGCTGGATCTTTTAAGAAGTTTATGTTGTAGCAATTAAACACATTATAATTACTTTAGCTTGCCCTTTGTTATGGAAAGTGATAGATTATTTCCAGAACAAAATACAGAGAGTCTTTCAGGCCTAGGTTTCACAAGAGAGAAGTGCTGGCCACCATTTTGACAGAGTGCTATGAGAAAGTTTAAATTTATAGTACTATTTTAATATCTAGCAACAACTTTCAAGTACAAATCTCAAGAAGTTTTACCTCTGCTATGCAAAGACAAAATGAAGAGACTAGCAGAGGGAAAGATTCATACACTATCTACAAATTAGCATAGCTCTTCTGAATCACTCAATGACTTCACACTGGTGGAGGAGCTGGACTACAGAAATGCAGTGAATTGTTCATTGGAAGGCAAGGACGGAGATGGAAGAAGAGTTTTACTCTTCTGTTATAAGCACCCAACCACACGCTTTCCATGTTCCTGCAGTAATTCATTTTTGCTGTGGAATTATGCCAATTCTAACTTGAGCATGACCTGAAGTTGTACTCCACTGGCTGGTCTATAAAGGCTGTATGCAAAAGTGGCAGCTAACATCATTTGCCAGATGCTAGCGTGACTACCACGCTAAGCTTACTACCACGTGTAAGAAACATCAGCTAGTACCATTCATGTGCTGATAGCCCTCCAAAATGTTCTGGTATTTTTCTCCATGTGCCCAGAGAAGACAAAGATAGGCTTTTCCAGTATTCACAGAAAAGAAGTTTTGACAGGGATGTGGCTTATTTCAGCATAAAGAAGAATGGAAGTCTTAACGCCCACACAGAAAGTACAAATCTCAGACGGCCATGATTGTTACATTTCCAGTCTGGTAATGGCCTAAGGACGCACTGTTCTGGAGCCAGCTGCACTCAGGAAAGGCAGCCTCCTCCAGTTACTCATCACTGCTAGAGAATCCCAGGACTGCTCCTCTGCATCCGCTAATTTTGTCTCAGTCATAACCCTTTACGTTCAATTAAATTTAAACAGCAGGCCACGTCGGTTTGTCTAAGGTGAAATTGGTCACGCTCCTACAGCCTCCCAGCCAATGGGTGGCAGTAACCACTGTCACAGCTGGAGCTCAGAAAAGCCCTTTGTCTGCAGTCTAATGAAAGAGCAGTATCTCAAGTACAGATAACACCAACTGCAATGAAAATGCACTTTAGACTTTGGTAGGCTTTGGCCTACCTTTACTTTCATAAGTACCTAGAAACTTTTGTCATTTTTTGTCTGGAACTGAGCAAGCAGTTTAAAGCAGAGTATTAATTCATATGTATCTTACGTATTATTTACTGATTTAAGTTGCAGGAAAGTACCGTGATGGTTTTTCTAAACAAGTGTTACCGTACAGACTTACTTAAACTGCAAAAAGCCAGCACAGACAACTGCTTCAGTTATTCCACTTCACTTTACTACACAGACAAGGTGATAACCTCTGTTTCCTATTTCCTACGTGCTTATTTCCCCCCAAACACCTGCTATTTAAACATAAGAAAGGATGATTATCTTTTGGAACGTTATTCATTACAGGCTAGGAATGAACATTCCAAATATTTGAACTATTTACTTGCTTGATTGTGTCTGATCACAAAGTTAAGTTCCTGTCTTGTTAACTACTTTCCAAATGACCTTTTGCATACCCTACTTTAAAATCTTGGTTTCTGCATGAACATTGCTACCAGTAAAACTCCACTGCTGAAAAACTGTCCTTAACAAAATGCAAAGGGAGATGTGAACATTTTCTTCACAAGATGTATTACAAATGAGACCAAATATATGCAGAAAGTACTTTGCATTATTCATCCTATTCTATATCTGTCTCAATGTTGGAAAAATAGAAAATCTTCACTTTCTATGTCTGATTTACATTGGATCTGTACATGCTTTCTTACATCTTGGGAGACATACAATTGGACTGGAAAAACTAGGAGAGACACTCTTCATATCGAGACAATTGTAGCATGTAAATGCATGATGATGTTATTTCTCTAAAAAGAAACTGTGGAAATACAGAAATAACATAAGAACATTGAAGCTAAACAGTACAACATAGCACATTGAAAAGTCAGTAGAAAGACTTAAGGTTTCTCATACAGACAATAGCTTCTCTCTATAAATTAAACCCTCCCCATTGTGAAAAATAAGAAATACGCAAAAGCAAAAAACAAAATGGAAAAGTTTCAAAGAGGCATCAATTATAACTTAATTCTTTGGAATCCCTTAAAGCACAGAATATTAAAACCTAACATATTTTGTAACTTGCTTGCAACACAGTAAAGCACAGTACCTACTCACCATGGCATTCCTCTGTCTGCTTGGAAACTTCTGCTTTGTACTCTCATGCATTCAGAAATGAAGGCCTTTAGACCACACATATTATCATTAGTTATTGCTGGAAATATGAAAAATAATTTTAGATTATAAAAAGTTATTAATATGTTTTCTGTAACAAGATGATCTGCTTTTTTTTTTTGAAAAGATAAATCAAAACTGTCTAGAAAATTTAAAAATAACTGCAGATCTTAAGTAAAATCCGGATACACATATGGGTTTATTCTTATGGCCACGCCTTCTAGTTATATAACTATGTTACAGTGTAGTTCTATACATACATACTATGTGTACTACTATAATTCAGCATATCCATTCAACTCTAAGATTCACCATGATCAAATTTTTAATTTACCATGATTTTTGATATTTTAGTTATCCAGTGTGACTCCACGGTAGCTGTAGAGGCCTCTCAAAAGGAAGGATTTACTTTAAGACTGTAAGGGGTTCAAATGCAGGTAATGCAGTTCATATGCAGGTAATGCAGCTATAATTTCTTCCTCACTAATAGACTGGACCAGTCTTGGGAACTTGGAATTTGGTGCACAGTATGAAGGAAACTTCCACCTCTCCTTTTGAACTATTCTTTCCAGAGCACTGTGGCTCCCACTGTTACTTTCATTTAGTTAAAGTCCCATTCATTCTTCAAGGCAGACGTGTCAATGCCATCCCTTCAACAGCTGTTCAAAGGCCAAATCAGATACAACTTTGGTTCCCAACAGGTTATCATTGCTTAGGAAGCTGGTATAGTGGTACTAGAATTAGTTTCTGTAGCACAGTGACTTCAGGTCTCACATTTGCTTTATTTGAAATGCAGAGCATAGCAGTGAGATCATGAAAGATGAATAATATCACCTTTTAAACTGCTTATCAACATATTTATATCTAATTATTCTTTCCTTAACATTTGAAAGGGAATAGATTGCCGTGTTATCTTTCTGCTGAGTGTAACTACTCATGTGTTGTGGAAGAGTAATTTGCCTTCACTGGGATAATATGTAAATCTAAAAGTCTTATTATAAAACTGTCATCATAAGCTCTCCACAAACACATATACACACACATAGAGACTGTTAGAGGGTAACACCATTCTGTATATTCTTTTCTTTGTTTTTCCCTTTCATTTCCAAAATGGTCAATGTAGCAAAAAGCATTTTATAGAAATGATCTCTAGTTTCTCTAGTAATAGACTTCAGAATCTGAAAAGTACAATAAAACATTCTAAACTTACTCAATTTAACTAAAATAACATTTCGATATTCAAAATTGTTCAAAATTAATTCCTTATTTTCATAATACTGGCTATCATATTCATATCATATTCATAATACTATCATCCTGGATATTTGAGAATTCCAGTCAATTTGTCAGGTGTCACAACATTTCTGAAGAACTTATCAACTTTGCAAATTGATTTTAAATAAGCCTATATTAAAGGTGAGAGCAGGGGCCTCTAAACCTAGTCATAAAACTGAATATATTTTACCTTTTTATATCAGAGTTTTCCTCAAATTCCACTACCTACAATACCTGAAACAAAATGATTCTGTGCAATTAGAAGCATGGTTTTGATTTTTTTAAATGTAAAACATCACTTTCTCTTTGATATAAGTGACTCTTACTGACATTTCAAAGACTTAAAAGCCAGAAAACACCATGGAGAAATCTGCAGCTTCTCTGCCTTTGAAGTACATGTGGGACTTGTTTAAGGCAATGAGAAACTGTGGTTCAAGTCAAAAAAAAAAAAGCTTCTATAACAGTATAATAGATTTTTAAATACTTTTCTTACGAATCTTACAAAGTTTGCCTGTCACTACCAATTATTTTCATTAGTTACTCTTATTCGTGTATTTTATTTTTCACTTGCAAATTATTTCAATTGAAGTATGAATTGTAGTTTTCTTGAAAGTTAAGAACAGACTGAGGTTCTGAGTTAAGGATGGATATGAATGTGAAAGGAGGACAGCAAAAGCACTATGAGTACTTTTCCTTTAAGATCAGGTAAAAGTGTCATATCACCTTCAGTGTCTAAGAACTATTTTTAAGTGAATGTCTAAAGGATAATTAACAAGAAAACACTTATTTGACTAATTCAGTCTCTTCTTCTGCCTACAAAATGGCCATGGGTAGATCCTGATTTCTTTTCACACATTGATCACAGAATCACAGAATGGTTGAGGTTGGAAGGGACCTCGGGAGATCATCTAGTCCAACCTCCCTGCTCAAGCAGGGTCACCTAGAGCATATTGCCCAGGATCACATCCAGACGGCTTTTGAATATCTCCAGGGAAGGAGACTCCACTACCTCTCAGGGCAACCTGTTCCAATGCTCTGTCACCCTCACAGGAAAGAAGTTTTTCCTCCTGTTCAGACAGAACTGCCTGTGTTTCAGTTTGTGCCTGTTGCCTCTTGTCCTGTCACTGGGCACCACTGAGAAGAGACTGGCCTCATCCTCTTGACACCCTCCCTTCAAATACGTGTACACAATGATGAGATCGCCTCTCAGTCTTCTCTTCTCCAGGCTGAACAGGCCCAGCTCTCTCAGCCTTTCTTCAGAGGAGAGATGCTCCAGTCCCCTCATCCTCTTTGTAGCCCTCTGCTGGACTCTCTTTGATTATGCAAATATATTCAGTAGATTTTAGAACGTGTTATGGGTTTATTACAAGCCTGTGAATTAAAGGTAGATTACTTCATTGGTGAGAAAAGTGACGTGATACTCTTTCTTAACTTCCTGATGAAGGGAATCCAGAAACTCCCCTTGAAATCCTCTTACCTCACAAACGCACATTCAGCTAAACAGCCTCAATGGAATAAGTCTGGAAAACAAACATGATAAAGGTACAAAGGTACCCCAAAATAAAATATTTAAAAATCCAAGCCAGTATTTAAAGATAATATTTTCCATCATCCTTTCAATCCTAGTTTCTAGTTGCTGTTTTCCATCCTCCCTCTGAGAATTAAGTGACCCGAGCGTCATTCCTTGATGCTCCTAGGGGGAGTAATTAAGTTGCTGTCCTTTCGCAAAGAGGCTTTTGTTAAGAGTTTGCCTGTGGGATCTTCCTCTCCATTTTTATGGCTTGATTAAAGGGAAGCTTACTTCTCTGGCTTTTTAATATCTGTTTATATTTTATTCCTATACCATTGTTTGGCTTTTGGTTCAAAGGCCTCATATCCTTAGCATATGACGGTTTCTGGCAAACAACCTTCTCAGCATCTCAAAATTACTACACAGAACACAAGAACTGCTGTAAGGGATTACACCAGTCATCCATCTAAGGAGGTCGGATCCGCTGGTCTCATACTAACATTGTTGGAATAAGTCAGTGATCAGCATTCGAGCAGACAATCCTGACTGATGCTGTGCTGATGTGTCCCCCCCCC